AACTTTTGCTAAGACGTCATTCCTATATTTGGTATAGTGTCGCTGGGCTTTGGATGGAGTGTAACTCCTTGTGTGTTATTAAGTTATTATATTGGTAATATTGTTTAGATCACGTTCACATGAGGCTTAAGTACTTATAGAACAAAAATACTTCAGCCAAAGATTCCGGGTAAACTATGTTGAAAGTTGACCCGTCCGGCACGTGAACATAAAGATTTCTAGAACTGCTAACCCTAGCTAGAAAGAGCGACGTACAACTGACCATGCGAGAAACAACTGACACCAAAATCTACTCCAGCAACACGAAAAGTTTGCCCTTGAGCCTTATTAATTGTAATTGCATAACACACTGATACTGGGAATTGCGTTCATTTAAATTGGAATGGAAAATTATTTGGTATTATGGGAATTCTGGGAATAATGACGGTTTCTCCTGCACCGCAACCTGTTAAAATTTGAGCCTCGATTATATTTTGTTGCAACTGGGTTACTTTTAGCCGAGTTCCAATGCAAAGTTGTGGTAGTCTTAAATTTCAGAGCAGAATAATCGGAATGCCTATTTTAAACAAATTTCATGAGAAGGAAGTCTGGGCATATTTAAAGAATTTAAAAATTCTATCGAGTAATTAGTGGCTTCTTGTTCATCGACCATTCTATTTATTGAACTATAAACTTTGCTTTCCCGCTGTATATTCGACAGTATTTTGTTATTAATCTCAGATGCCTGATACTGGGAATTGCGTTCTTTTAAGTTGGAATGAAAAACTATTTGGTATTATGAGAATTCTGGGAATAAAGACAGTTTCTCCTACACCGCAACTTGTTAAAATTTGAGCCTCGATTATATTTGTTGCAACTGGGTTACTTTTAGCCGAGTTCCATTGCAAAGTTGTGGTGGTCTTAAATTTCGGAGCAGAATAATCGGAATGCCTATTTTAAACAAATTTCATGAGAAGGAAGTCTGGGCATATTTAAAGAATTTAAAAATTCTATCAGGTAATTAGTGGCTTCTTATTCATCGACCATTATATTTATTGAACTATAAACTTTGCTTTCCCCTGTATATTCGACAGTATTTTGTTATTAATCTCAGATGCTTGGTCATTGTGAGGAGTTAAAATGGATCTTTCGCATAGCCAAGAATTTTCCCTATTTAATATAATTGTTACGTCACCGTAAACCGACGATATAAGATGTGGTTGGGATTGCACTATACAACATAACTCAGGCGTCAGAATAAGTTTTAATAGGTGTAGTTGTGGATAGGTACCTTTACCAATCTTTAATAATTTATCGGAAAATTGACGATCATCCGTGTTACCTGCAGTTCTCACTCGCATGTTTATAGTCAAATGTACCGATTGTATATCACGCAACAAATAAGAGCTTTTTAGGCAAGCCCTAACCTCATCATCTCGGTAAGGTTTGTCGAAAATCACCACAAAATAAAACCGTGATACCGCCCATTGGTCGATCATTTTGTCTTATATCCCTTAAAGTTCTGTCTACCGCTTTACTCCTTTTCGGTGGGCCATCGTACATTCATCCCATATTATTAAATTACACTCACTAATACAGTTTTTATTTTTGAAATATACAGGTTGGACTTTCCGTGCGATCTAAATCAATTTGTATTTTAAACATAGTGTGAGCAGTTTTCCCTCCTGGTAGCAATGTTGCAGCTATACCTGATGAAGCCACGGCAAGAGCAATTTTACGCTGATTTCGAACATAAGCTAATATTAATTTAGTCAAAAAGGTTTTCCCAGCTCCTCCAGGTGCATCTAAACACCATATTGTTCCCAAATTATTCTGAACACTCTCGCACACGCGATCATAGACTGAACGTTGTTCTGCAGTCATCATTGGGACACCGTTTTCTAATGTTGCCAGCAGTTCTATTGAGTTGTAACCAGTCTCTGCGGAATATTCCCTATTGGTAACCTCTCCTACTGAAGTTGGTGTTGGCAAACCATATTCAAAGAGTGATTTACCGCCTACTGCCGCTGTTAAGTCTTCCTGAAGAGCTAATAAGCACAGATTTATGGCAAGATCACGGAAATTATCATTAGTTGCGCCTTCATCATTGTGAGATATATTCCGAAGAAAGTCTTCTGCAAATTTTTCTTTATATTTTTCCCATAATTGTACAGCATCTGACAAATTACAAAATGTGAGTAATATTACAAATAAATGACGAACCGTCGTGGATTATCACTAACACAGGATTCAGCTAAAGCATCATCCCAATGCTGATCATTTTCAAGCAAACGACGCGCTTGGCAAGCTGCATGATAAGTAAGATAAGTTGGATAAATAACATCGTCTACTTTTCTCAGATCTATAAATGATGTTGGTCCTCGAACTGTATGTAATAACAATCGCAAATAGAAACACTCAGCGTTGTTAGGATGAACGGTATAAAATCTACCAAGAACATGTTCTTTGAAAATACCTAACTCGCCATCTACAGGCCTGCCACGGCGTCTACGATTAAAGACACCTCGTTGCTTATCGTAGGTATAATACGATGGAACTTCCTCATACAAAAAGATTTTGCATAATCATCAGTTCGGCAAAGTCGAAAGAATGCTAATAAAGTTGTTTGTCTAGGGTTCTCTAATCGTTCTGTAACATTTTCGGCGTTGAAATTTATACGTTGACCGCCTTCAAGATGAACATCCACATGAGTCATGGGTGGATATCTTTCGTGAATGTTGAATCTTAAGATCCGCCATACAACTTCTGAAGAGCTGATATATCTGCCTGACTGAAATCTAGTATATATATCATGTCCATTTCTCAACGCAAATGTAGCTTGGTCACTGCCCTTGTTAATATACTTACAAATATATTTTATTGACTCTACACTATTACACATTTCAACATTTATGTGAGCTTCAAATGCTCTAGATAACACAGGCGAATACGGAATGACCCACCTATTATCTAAAGTAACCTGTTGTCCAGACACTCGCTTTTCAACAGTAAAACCACCATTGTCTCTTGAACGGCGACGATATAATGGGTATCCATCATGTCCTGTTACAGTTTCATCCACTAATGCTTTTGGATATCTTTTAGTGCAACGACCGTCTTGCATGCAAGGAGCATTCCCGTTAAATGCACCACATGGACTATGTATCATATAAGTTTTGACAATGTCGTATAACACGGTATCTGCAATCGGATCTGGAATTTCAGCACTGATTGAACCTTATCTTTTAGCCAAAGCAGGATATGTGCATGAGGCCGCGTTTTTGCCACTCAACACTATACATATAACACAATACATCTCCAAAAATATTATCTTTGGTAAGTAGATCTATCATTGATTTTAATTTTAAATGAAAAACTCTTGCGATAAATAAATTGCGATATCATGGCGGTCATGCGGTGCTTGACCCTCACCCGAGTGATTTCATCCCAATTGGGATTGGTAGTTACAGTAATAAATAAGTTTTGACGTCCATATTTTCTTACGTAACAAAAAGCATCTTGAGTACGTTCGTGCATGTAGCGTGAACTACCAGTAAAAGAAGAGGGTACTAAAATAACTAAACGGCCCATATTCACCGTATCATTATCTTGCTGCATGGCGTCGCGAAGGTGCACGTATTCTTCAGCGCGCAGCTGCCTTTTATTAGATCGTATATACGATCTAATCAAAGGCACTAATCTTTCGGTTTCAATTTTTGCGTACATGTCAACAATAAACTGATTGAATAAGCCACGAAAACGTTGAAAGTATACAAATCTATTCCGTCTCACTTGCAAGTGGTAACAATAAAATTGAAGGCATGACATCTTTTTATTATAATTAGGTGCGCCTGTACGCGGATCAGTTTGGTATAAAGCGAAATTATAACCATCTTTCCCCTCGAGAGTATATCAAAGGATATTGCGAACTGTCGTAAGCCCTGTGGGTTTCGTAAATACGTTGCAAACAATTGTCTCTGGAACGGATAACGATATCACGTCTACCACATTCCTGGTCGACCAATACTACAGCAACTTCATCCGTGGATGGAACGTTATAACGCCCAGGGTGTTCCTGAGTTGGATGCCTATCGGCATTTATAACAATTTTGTAATTGTTATCACCATCTTGAGGAAGAGCTTCTAGTGCCGATTTAAAACTGCATACATACGAATTAACCTGATGCAACATGTTCTGAAGTTGTGAAATAAGTTCAGTATTTAAATTCGGGAAATATTGATTTCTTATATTCGACTGTTCGTTGTAGTCGGATACAAAATATATTTGAAGAAACTTAGGTTGGTCTTCAGGCAAAAGAGATCCTATCAAATGGTAAACCTGACCTTGTATCTTAAAAGTAGGCATGAAAGAACCTTCTGAGATTTGTTGAGCACCAAAGGATGTCATTTGAAACGCACTATTATAAGTGCGAATATTGTCTAAGAACTGTTTAGATTGCACATGTTCCCCTAAAAGTAGTGACTTCAAAGGTTCCGGTGGATCTTCGAACGAAGGCAAATTTATTTTACCTCCAGAACAACAGAAACCTGCCGACTCCATACTCCACTTTGAAGCATTACAAAAAGAACATACTACGTTCATATCGCCTATTACAGAAGATGATCTGTAATCAATTGTGAGGTTATAAGCAAACCCACTTTTATATTTGTCGGACCACGCCACCGAATTTGTAGATTGATCTTCTATGTGTACATCTAAGTCATTAAGACTATGTCGAAATCTGTCTGCAGTAAGACGGGCCTCTCGCTGTTCATCCGTTTCAAGAGACCGAATATTTTCAATTCTTAATCTTTCATTAGACAAACTTATTAATCGTTCTTGTCTCAAAGAATTGTGATATTCGCGTCCCGACTCTAGTCGTTGTTCATGCTCATGTTTATCTTAAAGAGATCGAATAATGCACCCTATCATTTGTCAAACGGTCTTCATATTGAGTAAAAGTTTCAGATTCTCGGGATAAAATATGACGTTCGCGATCAGCTGTGAGACGTAATTCCCTCTAAGTGTAGGTTTCGGACTCGCGAGATAATGTATGCCGTTCGCGGTCAGCTGTGAGACAGAATTCCCTCTCAGTGTAGGTTTCGGACTCACAGGATAGTAGATGCCGTTCGTGATCAGCTGTGAGACATAATTCCCTCTCAGTATAGGTTTTGTACTCGCGAGATAATGTATGCCGTTCGCGGACAGCTGTGAGACGTAATTCCCTCTCAGTGTAGGTTTCGGACTCGCGAGATAATGTATGCCGTTCGCGGTCAGCTGTGAGACGTAATTCCCTCTCAGTGTAGGTTTCGGACTCGCGAGATAATGTATGCCGTTCGCGGACAGCTGTGAGACGTAATTCCCTCTCAGTGTAGGTTTCGGACTCGCGAGATAATGTATGCTGCTTCGCGGACAGCTGTGAGACATAATTCCCTCTCAGTGTAGGTTTCGGACTCATAGGATAGTACATGCCGTTCGTGATCAGCTGTGAGACATAATTCCCTCTCAGTGTAGGTTTTGTACTCACGAGATAATGTATGCCGTTCGCGGACAGCTGTGAGACGTAATTCACTCTCAGTGTAGGTTTCGGACTCGCGAGATAATGTATGCCGTTCGCGGTCAGCTGTAAGCCGCAATTCTTGTTGTGAAGCAGTTTCAGCTTCTCGGGATAACACATGTTTTTGTCGGTCAATGGTAAGCCTTAGCTCTCGTTGAGAAGAACTTTGAGACGCCCGTGATGTAGCTTGTCTCGCTCTGTCAGCTGCTAATCGCATCTCTCTTTCTGGAGAGCTTTCATTGGTTCAAGAAATTGAGGCACTAACTCTCATAGAGTTTAACCGATGTGCTCTATCCTCTGCCAATTCTTGAGAACGCACATTTCTCATTCTCTTAGCTTCTCTCGAATTTCGAGATAAAGATAATCGTTTTTTAGGTGGCATTGTGTATTTTATTTTAATCGACGGCATTCAGTTACCTAACAAAATAATCTACGTTAGAAGTCCTAACTATAGCTACTATACACTTAAAAAATCTAAATGCCTACTTAAATAAGAAAACGGATCCTAAATAAATCCTGAAATCCAAAATTAAATTCTTAAAAATATATAAGTAGGTACCTAAACTACGTCTAATAGAATTAAATAACCTATTTGATACCTAGGTACCTATTTAAAACTACAGCTAAATAAAATAAAATAAAAGTTTAATTTATAATTAAGCTAATACTAAGGAAATATTTAGTCTTGATGACTTGATTAAACTCGTAAATTGTTTGATTTACGAGTTATAAAGGTTTGTACTATCATATTGTAATGATTTTTTTTAATTATTTTATGATATAATTTGTGCTTTATAAATCCAATTATAATTATTTCTTAAAAAATTATTTCTGTTTTGTCAAAAAACAATAACAAAAAAGTGGGTTAACATCTGTAGATGTGTAACTGTTCATTGTTACAGACATCAACAAACAGTCTGTTAGAACATTTAGAAATCATAATTTTATTATCACTTCCATGACTAATATGACGTTGGCACAATTCGTTACAACGAATTTGCTAATAAAAACTCTCGTTTATTTCTGCCTGTTAATAAATATTGTTGGTAAATTTCCAACTTCACTTAACTGTAGTTTGTTCGCTAAGATAGTGTTGGTACACCCGGAGTACACACTTACTAATTTGCTTTTGTTTAAATATATTTTTATTTGTTTATTAAATAAATGTTTTTCTATCCCAAGAATAAAATAGAATACTATTTTATTATTATAGTTATTGTAATAAAATACGAATATAAATAATAAACACAAGTTAGGTAGCGAAGAACCTTTCACTACGGCGCTACGTTTTAAAATTTAAAATGCCAAATTCTCCTGCTTGTGTACGCCGCACGACTTAATGTCGCGGCAGCGCCTTTGACAATATGCATCATGTGCCAAGGCTGCGCGACACGAATGCGATCGTATCTAAGTAAACAGACTATACTTAGATTGTCTATGACAGTAGTTTCTTAATATTATAATAATTAACGTCCCCTACGGCGACCACATTGACGTGGTGCATATAACATAATCATATCAGCGGGTCTACGAACTTGACCATGCCCTGTATTTACCGATACTAACGGTCCCAAACCCAAACCTAAATGGAGAATGTTTATAATATTAACAAGAAGTAAACGTCCCCAAGTGTTCGGTGGACCCAGTAGCAGTACTGGTCATGACGTAAGCCAGTTTAAAACTAGGCCTAGGGATGCGAAAAATTCCCTAGCAGCGACAGCACCTCGCCAAACGATCCAAGCGACACATAGACTCCGACATGCTAAGCGACATAATCTCATAGACACATTCACCTTTTCATTCATTCGAGTCAACCATTTCATCTCCATGTTCATACCAGCCTTCCACGAGATCAGACTCTGTATCACTTTTGTCTGAGGGTTTTGTGCAGATGGCTGTCATCACTTAACCTGTACCCGCTCCAGGCAGAAGACGTGCGCGCAAAAGATGGACAGAAGAAATGAATAACGCACGTATCACACTCGATTATTTTATTACGTGGTAGAGTCATGCTGCAGCTATATTGTGGTTGCAGCACTAATGGGTCAGCTCGACCGGAGTAGGACCACGCTCTTGCAGAATACCGGCTTAATGCTGCTGTGTTTTATATGGTGTGTGTAGAAAACCGGAAACCCTTTTTACAGGAAACGAGGCATTCCATCTCAATCCTCAGGGCTATCAACGCTTCTGCATTTTGATTCTTAATTGAAGATAAATGTAGATGTCTATGAGTCACAGCATTCATTTACCATGAGGTGGACTGTGTGCTCGTTTGGCACCCTTATTCTATAAAAAAGACAAAGATTGGGAGATCAATGCAGAGCTATACTTAGAAATAAATTACTTCCCCAAAAATGTTAGATCACATAGGGAATGAAGTTGCAATATACGTACAACAAACACACGGTAATTCCAATCATATACAAACCCACTCGATCACGCAATCACATACGCAACCACATTTTTGCAACCAACGAGGCTTTACATAATGAAGAAAATGGACAGCTGACCAAAACGAATCTCATCATCATCATCATTACAGCCCTTCAAAAGTCCACTGTTAACATAGACCTCGCTTAAGGAATGTTACAAAGCACGGCCCTGAGCCACCTGCATCCATCGACTTCCTGCATGTCTTACTATCTAGTGGGGGTCGTCTTACACTTCGCCCGTCGGTATGAAACTGCCACTCGAGAACCTTTTCTCCCCATCGGTTGTCGGTTCTTTGAGCTATATGGCCGGCCCATTGCTACTTCAGCTTACTAATCCGTTGGGCTATGTCGGTTACTCTGGTACTGCAGATATCCTCATTTCTAAGTTTATTACGCAAAGAAACCCTGAGCGCTATGCTCATATCTCTCCATAGCTCGTTGAGCGACCTTGAGGGTTTATATACGGCCAGCAGTGAAGGATCACTTCTCAATTCTATAAGTCATCACTGTCAACACGCACTGGTTGTACAGTCTCGTTTTCAGGTTTTGAGGTATAGGCTCAATCGCAGAAGGCGATGCTCGTGTAGTAGGCGGTGTAGGTGTAGTGTTTTGATTTCTTTGCAAAAAGATAATACACTTTCACCAGATCAAAGGCGTGTTTATGTTCATAAAATATAATAAAATTTTATTCTATTTTCATGTTTATTTAGCTTTAAATCCCAACACTATAATAAAGTTTTTATATTTAATAAGATTTCTAAAATTTTAACATAATAATTCCTACGTTAAAACAAAATTAATAACGTAAGAAAACTACTAAAAATCCTATTAGAACCATTTTCTTCTTCGCGGATGAAGTCGCGGGCAAAAGCTAGTGTACTTTTATTAATGGCACATAAAAAACAATGTATTAAGTTGTAAAAGTATCAATACGCACACTTTTTAATATTTTGAGGCCCCCTCTACCAGCACCTTTACCTGGGCTCATGCCATATGTGTCTTTATGAAGGAACTGATAGTGAGCCATATCTTAAATCAATGAGTACTACTAAATCTAGAAAACATTCTCGTCTTCTCATGACAGGCCTCATTAAGCGTGGCGTGGTTGCTCACGCTGAACGGAGTGTAACACTCACCTCCCACCTCTAGTCCCTCTTCTTCTTCCACCTCCCTCCTCGTGCCGCAGGATACTAAAGCAACATTGTATACGAATAGTTATGAATAAATATAAAAACAAAAGAGTAAAATACAATAAAAATTTAATATGCAATTAAATTTTCTATTGAATGTACAATCTTCACAATTCAAACTTTTACGGATGTATATGCTAAATCTAATTTCTTCATCAAAATTTTGTAGTAATAATTCATAGGTTGATTGTTGGCAAAACCAATAGTTGCTAGCATTAATCCATAACCAAGGAGTATAGATATCAATTTGTGCTTATTTAACCACTGTCTCAATCCACCCTCTGAAATAAACAGAAAAATGTTCAGAATTCCGTTTTGTTAAATGATGTCATATTTAAACCCTCATACATAAATACTCAGATTATAGATTTAAGTAACTAATCTGGCCATAAATAATGTTTACACTTCAAAAACTCTTTTTTCTCAATTCAAAATTTGAACGCGTTTATTCGATAGCAGTCGGTAAGGTATCGGCGGAAACTTGACTGCCGGCAGATTTTTGTTCCGTTTATAAATATTGATACCTCAAAGTGATGCGATTTTATATTTTAAGTGTCAGCGTATGTGAATTATTGGAGTGGATACGATGAAACAATGCTCCGATTTTGATATACTTAAACCTCAAATCATGTTGCCCCCTCCTTCCTTCTGCTAGCTGGAACAGTCGTCAAAATTTCCCAAAAAGCTCCGCAATGTTTGCGTTTGAACAAATTGTTATTGAAGCGGTCATAGCAAAAAAATGAAAAAAATACGATTGAAATGCACCAAAACAAACAAAATGACAAAGTGAAAACTCACAAATGTAAAGAAGCCTCGCAACTTATTAGAAAAGTGCAACGTGGTCATCATCCTGAATGAACCACATTTTGGTCGAGTGTGTTCTAGAATTAAAAAACTTCATTGTAGTTAAGAAATAACGAAGACTTCGGCCAGTCGGCGATTTATTAGAAGACTGTCTTGGATCGTGTAGTTAACTGCACAACGTGGAATCTCCAGTAAGGCTGATCTTAGTCACAAGGCGCAAACATTTTAATCTTTGCTCGAAATCAATGTTTCGGACTTCATATAAACTGGCCCTTGTTCAGTCCAGATCTGAACCCTTAGGACGACAAACTATGATCATTACTAGAGGGCATGCCTCCTCCATCTTTAAAACATTGAGGTTGAGTCTGTCAAGAAGACTTTAGAGCTATCAGTGTCTAAACTCCCTATGGAGAGAATGCGTAAATCCATAGATTTAGGGCGTCAGAGCCACATGGGCTCACAGTGAATATGTTTTTAAATTATTCCCTTAATTTTCAAGAAATATGTAGGTACCTATATCGTATAACATACATTTTATTACAACTCTGTTTCTTTCAAAGTATTTGTATTTTATGTTTAAACAAAATTTATGACCATACTAGGTATAGTTAAAATTTAAAATACTACAATTCAAAAAAATTAAAGTATTGCGTCGAAGAATAAATATAATTTTTAAATGTAAAATTACTATGACACATATTGCAGTATTTTTTTGACTTTGGTCTTTCTTTTATTAGCAGCTCATAACAGTGCACTTCTGTAGATCCCTCTTTTTTTTAAATAAAACTGATCAACTTACAATCAACCTGATGGTAAGTGGCTACTGCAATATATAAACACCTGCAGCTAACTCAAAATAAAGACTGCTGGCTATATCTTATACCTTTAAACGAGCAATTCTTGTATATATATATAATCGGAATCTCGGAAACGGCTCCAACGATTTTCATAAAATTTAGTGCCCAGGGGGTTCCAGGGGCAATAAATTGATCTAGCTAGGATTCATTTTTAGAAAATGTCGTTTTATCCGTGTTTTCAGACAATGAAAAACTGCTACAATATCGTTAGAATAAGAAGGTAAATTTTGATAGTGCATTATTGATTGTAATAGCTCAAACAGAATGTCGGGCGGTCCCGAAATTATAGTACCCTGGTTCGAGTCCTGTCTTCGATCCGACTTTTTTTCCTTTTTTTTCAAGTTCCCTTCTTTTTTGAGAAAATCTATTATTTCCGGTGTGGGGTTTGTGTCCCGCAAGGAACAAATGTTTATAGTACCTACAGATAATTATTCCGACTCTGGATGTGTGTGTCTTTGTGCAATTTATGAATGTAAACCACGTCCAGAAAAAAAGAAGAAATCCTACTGTTGGGTTGATATTTTTAAAAGGATAATAATAAACCTAGACTCCTAGGCAGAATACTGACTAGTAAAATGAATTGGTAATATCGTTGTCGTGGTAAAAGCAGCAATAAATATGGGATTATGTGATATTGCAACATCATGTACCTGCTAAGCGTGACAATTACGCCAAATCCTCCCTATAATGGGAAAATCCCATGTATTGGATACAATGGGATAGATACTGTTAAGGGCTTATATGAAGAAGTAATGAATATTTACTAATTTCTTACCGTGTCTATGAGAGTTTGTTGTGCTAAATCTTATCGAAGTAGGCTGTTTTGCGTAAACCAGTAAATAACGCAGTCTAAGTAAATCGCTATTAGTAACGTAATAAGACGCTTTGACGTCTGTAGAGTTTACTTGTTGGTTAGTGCCTTCATTATTAACACCATCACCTAAAACACCATAATAATCGCTTTATATCTCAATTATAGAATAATTTTATCTACCTTTTTAAATATGCTGGTACAAGAATTTAACCGAACGGATAAACTTTGAACTACAAGATAGTCTAATGTGATTTGTTAGTTTGATTTAGTGATATCAGATTAAAATAACTTAGAAATAAGAAAACTGTGGTAAAAGTTTTGTAACCTTAACAATAAATACCACTACCGCCAACGTTTTTGAAATAAAAATTCAAGAACTCTCTCTCTCTCTCTCTCTCTCTCTCTCTCTCTCTCTCTCTTTCTCATGTGCAAGATATCGCATAATACCCCACTAGATAGAGTGACGACCTGGTAGTCGATGGATGCGGGTGACTCAGGGCCGTGCTTTGTGGTATTCTTTGGGGGAGGCCTATGTTCAGAGAGGCTGTAGTGATCTTAGTTTACTCCACTATTTTACACGAATCCAAAACCTAGGTTCTGCTAAAAATAATCATATACCTAAACCATTATCTCAAAATAAACTTTATATAAGTACATATAAGTTTATTTTGAGTCATCATCATCGTCATTACAGTCAATCGAAAGCTGACATAAGCTCCCTTAGATTTGGACATTTATTCGTGGTAGAGACATGCTGAAGCATTATTGTTATAGCAGGAATGGGTGGCACATTGACACTTAACCACAATTTTCATTCACAACTAAAGATATATAAAAATCAAAAACATTATCTTTATTTAAAATATTATTGAAACAAAATATTTTTGAAAGTTATTACAAAAAATATATTTTTTAAATTAAATCTAAATTAGTGTACGCAGTATGCACCCCATTGAAGTTTAATGTACTTAATAGGTACAGTACATATTGCTTCCATAACGCACCCTTACTTCTATTTAAGTTGCATTGTTTATTCTATAGTTTATGCGCGATGCTATGATGCAAAAATAGATAATGGGATAGCACAAAATTTTTACTGCTGACCTCCAAACTGATGATGAAATGATGATGCCGTTTATTTATATACCTGTTTGAACTTTATTATTATAGAATATGATAACAATTTATACATGTAGGTAGTTAAGATTTATAAAGGGCAGCTAACTCTACGAGTATAAAGAATTCTCTTCCAAAAAACCCTTTACGAAACAGAAAAATTTTATATTACATGTTTAGGTTGACGTAAGAAATAATATAGGTAAGTATAATTATGTATATTACGTTATATGTATCGGAGTCAACGATTGTACAAAATCACAAATCAAAGGTTTTAAGGTCCAAACGATTACCTTTGTGTTTTAGTAGTCAAACCTGAGTAATTGAGAACTGGGTAAGCGGGAAAACTCTATTAATGAAAGTATTTACCAGGTCTCGTAACTTTGCCCCCCTAAAATCTATATAAGTGAGAAATATAAAACCAGCCATTTTTCACGCGGGAACCTTTTCAAGTGAGATTGATTCTTGCCTATACCTCTATAGGCGACAGTTAATCATGTTTAACTTTTGCTATTTATGAGTCATTCTTAAATTTCGAGGGACACTTATTTGATTCAAACCAAATGTGCGTCTGTTATTGTTTTGTTATTATAGTTGAAGGAACTCATACTATTCAAAAAGCCAAATGTGCGTACCGACTTGTTAGTCAAGCTTATTACAGTCAGTTCATAAACAGCAGTTCCGAAAAAAGTTCCTGTACATACTCATAATGTCTAAACGAAAACTCAATGCGTTGTCTTTAAGTAATAAACTAAATATCGTAATTTATGACCTTATTTGAATTCTGGAATTAATTAGGAAATCAAATACAGAGTGAGTTAGGCTTAGCAGAATCCATTTACTATAAAGTTACAAAATTAAAAGAATTAATTAAGTCTCAGTGCTCTGAGAGACACGGAAATATCAAGAGAAGCCGAGTTTCTGAGTTTCCCGACGTTGAAAACTGCCTGTTTTCAACGTCGAAGTGTCGAGAATGGTTTAAAAAACCCCTCGATAAGAATATTCTCATAGATAGACCACTGCCGCAACAAAAATCTAAAGATTTCGCTCGAAAATTAGGAAACCAGAATTTTTCAGCCAGTAACGGCTAGTTAGAAGGTATTAAAAATCGCCATGATATAACTTTTAAAAAAGCAACCGGAGAAAGTAGATCCGTAGATCAGGGAGTATGCAAAGTAGAAGTAGGGATCCAGATCTTTTAATTTTATAATACTAATTACAATTTTTTAATAAAACTCTATACTAAAACACTAATAAAACACTAGAAAAAGCCAAAAATCAACAAAATAACATTCACACGGAAATGGCATACGAAATGAACGTAGATTATAAATAAACATTCATAGGGTAACAGTTTTTTTATTGCACTAGAGGATAGAGTGTTTCCCATTGATTATATAATGCCAAACTTCTTCATAGAAAAGTAGTCTCTATATATAATTTTTATGGTTTAAAGTGCTTTAGGTGGGGGCGAACTCATGAGATCGCTAGGGATTTGACGGAATATGGATCCTTGTCACAATCCGGTACGGTGCGTCCAATTTAGCTTGAAGCTTAGGAGATTTCCCTTTGCTGCAGACTAGATTGTGATTGGGGATCTGTGTATGGGGACTCTGTACCGTCATTTACCACAGTGAAATTTTGGACACCTGAATTTAAACGTGACTGTGAGATCTTGAGAGACGATGAACGTTCGGGACGTCCAAAAACTGCAACTACTGACGATAACATCGCCAAAGTTTACCAAATGGTGATAGACGACCGCTGAATTAAAGTGAAAGAGAGAGCAGAGGCTATTTAAATGTCAAAAGAACGTGTTTGTCACATATTAAATGAAGATTTAGGCATGAGAAAATTGTCAGCGCATTGGGTGCCGCGTTTGCTTACGTTACACCAAAAAAGTGCTCGAATGAACATTTCCAACGCTCCGTTAGAACTGGTTTGGCGCAATAAATCCGAGTAAAAGGCTCCGATTAATTACTGTACATGATAATGAACTTGGATACACCATTAAACACCCAAAACAAAAATATAGTCAAAACAGTAGACGGCAACTTGAAAACCAGGTCCAACAAAAAGCAAAAACATTTTTTGGCTGAGAAGGTGCTGGTGACTGTTTTTTTTTTTGGGATTTTTGGGATATTCAAAAAAATAACCATTATAGGAGCATACTACGCATCATTACTTGATAAACTGGAGGCAGATTGCGAGAATGTGGCCGTTTTTCGGCCACTTTTGTAGGAAAAGAAAATCCTGTTTCACCATGACAACACGTTGACTCACACCCCAGCAGCTGCCATGGCTTAAAATCCACGAATTATGGTTTGAACTAATTGACCGCCCGCCTTACTCACAAAGCACCTTCTTTTTGTTCCCTCATCTAAAAATTGCGCTCGGAGGACAGAGAAATTCGTCAAATGAGGAGGCAATCACCTTCGTGAAGAATTATTTTACAGATAAAAACGCCGAGTACTATATGGACGGGTTAGAGTGATGGGAGCATCGATGGGAGAAGTATGTAGAGTTGCAAGGAGACTATGTAGAAAAATAAAAATAAATTTTAATAAAAAAAACCTTATATCTTTGTTAGGTCGGAAACTTTTCCGACCACGTAAAAATATTAATTAGTAACACACATAATATGTTATAATCTCACCTTCATCAGTTATAGGTTTTCTAACATTAATTCCATCAGGCGTGTCGATGACTTCACACATAGCAATGCAGGACAAGTGGCCACCAATGCAACTTGCACCCCACCCAAACCCACCGTGACTGTGTGGTAAGCTTACATTTAAATCTGGTGAAAGGTATAATCCACTGCCTAAAGCTGTATTCTGTAAAATATATTTTATAAAATATATTGCAAAAAAGTTGTAATAAAAAAGATATTAAAAAAGGACCTTGCACATCTGTTGCTGTATACCGAAATGCATCATACTGTAAACATTTTCTAAACGACTTCCGTGATATGCATAAAACGTTTTATAATTTTTCGACATTTCTTTCCATTTCTGTTCGCCATGAGATGTTTTTGAGTAACATACTTGAAATATATATTGAGGTAGTGGCGTAGGTGAAGAATTCGTAATTGCAAGAATTGATTCATACTGGAATATTAAAGTACATAATATCAATACCGTACCGAAATAGAAGTTTTACGTAAGAATTGTCAGATTTCATGCATACCAATTCAGCTGGCACAGTTTTGAGACTTGGTTCTTTTAATCTGACAAGTACGTAGAATAGTAAATCAATTATATCACTTATTTTGGTTAAATTATCTAAATCATCTAGCTGCTGTAGAAATAAATCGAGTGCGGGTACATCAGTCAATACATTCAGCTGTAATAGAAAATATTAATTCATAATCAAGTCTATCATTAAATAGAAAATAAATATTATACAACTCTATTTACTAATTCATCCATATCCTTGACACCATTTTTTATAAAAGCTGGAGGAAATGGTCTTAGGCAGCTTTCATATCTGAAGCTGAATGCGGCAGCAACGAATAAACTCCACTTAAAATCGGCAGCTTTAAAGTCTTTTTCTAACACCAACCTGGAAATATTTCAGGAATGCAAAAAATCTACTTGCTGTTTTCTTAGTTACTTACGAGGTAAACACCCATGCTAGGTATATTAAATGTCTTCTTACCTCAAATGTACTGCCTTTTTTTCTAACGTGTCCAATTTAGCTTGATTGATGTCTGACATCGCTTCCGATGTAGACGTGAAATTACAATTTGTGGTAGTATCAGATAACTCTTCAGGCTCCCCGTTCATTTTTAAATTTATTTACATAATTTTGAATAAAAAAATTAATGACAAACCAATAATAAGCTTTCTAGATTGTCAAAATTTGAATTAAAAAGACATAAACAATAGAACAAGAAAAAGTATTCATGAAGTTATTAATACATTAGTTATATAAGTGTGTACATTACAAGTTAAGATAAATTAGTACGACGATTCATAATTCATCATCATCGTCATTTACACCATCAATCAAAGGCCAATACTGAACTTAGGTATACCCCATAGATTGACTCCTTAATATTTGTCATAGCTGCCATGCTTGGCAGGTGGTTTGGCATAAACAGTTTTTTATTATTTTGAGTTGTTATCAGGAAAATGCCGCCCATCTCCTATTTCAGTTTCCCAATGACGTCTGTTACGGTACTTGCGGGATTATACCTATAGGGTAGTGAATTCTCTTACTCCGTCACTATACGGCGACCATTATTCTTACTTAAAAAAAATATTCTTAAGTTAGAAAGGCTTGAGTAACATCTTTTAGACCATCATTTTAATTATCCTTTATAAATATATATTTATGTTGGTGAACGGAACTCTAAATAAAGTGTCTAAATAATTTAAATTCATGATATTGAAGTTTCGCAGTCGTAGTCGAAAATAGATTGTATTTTCTCGAAAAGAGACTCGAAAAAAATATGCTATTTCTAATAAAAAATATAAAAGCTAGTCAAAATGCAAATGGTCAACTCATGCGAAGACACCCTACTTTTTATAGAAAAATCGTTTAGACTTAGGTGAAGTCTTTTGCTCAACAAAAAAAAAACAACATCAATTTCTGTTTGATTATTTAGTCGAACAACTATCGATCGATTAAATTACCAAAATTGATACTTTAATTACCGAACACCAATTAAAATTTAAAATGAACAAATAATAAAACACAATTCGAAGTATTCGACTGTATCGCCAATTTAATACTCATCCGGCGGCGTTCCTTACTGGTTTTATATAGGCATTTTCCACTGAAACATCTAATGTTCGAGCACATACCGGTCCTGACCGACTAGGTGTAGAAAGTTCTAGCATGGAATTTTATAGAAAGCTTAGTTCTGCTATTCGATACTAGATGGCACTAGTGCCATGTACCAATACTGCCCCTTCGTAAGACATGCTCGTCCCGCGCATTATCGGCCCCATAATAACGTGCCAGTTGATCCACATGGACGATCTTAGGAGTATCTCTTGCACCTTTCTGATACGGCCCCGCAACGTCAAGGGCTATCCTCTCCCATGGTGCAGCACCATTGTACAATTTCAATGCACCTCTACTACGAGTCTGAGGTCCTTTCACAGCCGCACAACTTGTACATTTGCGACACCAATCCTCGTCATCGTCACAACAATGGACCCAGTAAAACCATTCTCGGATCTTCAGTAGAATTCGTTTAACTCCCAGATGGACTCCTGAACTACCATTATGGTACAGCTGTAGAACATCCGGTACGGTTTAGCTTTAGGGACAATCTTTTGCAAATGACAGCTGTCTTCCGACCATTTTCCCATTTAAGGCACAGAACTCCTTCCTGAATCAGCAAGTTTTCCCATTGGGCCCAATAGCTTTTCGTGGTTGAACTCATTGCTAAGACATCGCTCCACTTGGGCCTGGGAGCACTGGCCTTTATTCATTCCAGAATCGGCTTAATGTCCAAATCTTCCAGCTGTGCATGTTGTAGGCAGTCCTTCCACTCGTTGCTGAGTTGGTCTGTCCTGAGCATCCCCACAGATACCACTTCCTACCCTCTTGCCTAGTACAATGCTTGCAATCTTCAGAACAAAGTTTTCTTGACAATGCATGTGCGTTACCATGAGATTTCCCGCTGCGATGTTCGATCACAAAGTCGTATTCCTGCAGTAGTTTAATCTGTCTCGCAACTTGTCCTTCTGGATTTTTGAACTTCATTGGCCATTTTAGTGGAGCATGATTAGTTCGTTGTTTCTTTTTGGTCTAGTTGGATAAACGTATATTATATAACACAAATATGAAAAAGATAAATGTTAATAAATTAAAATATTTTTATTTGTGTACAATGTGAACAAACCTTTACCTAACTTAATTTAGGTAAAGGTTAATTCACATTGTACACAAATACAATTTACCATAAATTTGTTCATATCTGTTGTTACAGAAAAAAGTGACCGATATAATAACATAAGTTAATGAATTGCTCATGTCTAACCTAAAAAAATCTCTTTTGCAATACCATTTTCTACTTTCTTACGAATCTTTTCTTTTAAAGCAATTGTACCAATACCATTTATTGTAAGATGAGTTATAAAACAATAAATGTATTGATTAAAACTATATTTACGCTTCTTCTTCTTATACGGATTTTATCGCTTAAACGCGATAAAATCCGTATAGGTAGTTTTAATCAATGTGTAGTGTTCGCGTAAATATAAAAAATCATTACAATAAATGTATTTACCGATGCTTTAAGAGTCTAGCAGTAAAATGTTACTCTCAATTGTCGAATAATCACTGCACCAAAAAATCTCGACACCGTATGATCAACAAAATGGCCGAACGTGACTAGTGCCATCAGTAAAATAATCTTGATAACTACCATAAAGAGAATAAAAATATAACATAACAGAAATGAATGAAATCAGGACACGCATTTATTAATTAATTATAAATTACATGTTTTGTACAATTCATTATATATTTTTTGAATTCATTGGGCTTGAACCGTGCTCTGTTAAGAAATAAAATGCTTATGAATTGTAACACTAATATTGAATTATAAAATATTTTTAACTTACAAGCCAGTAAGCCTCTTTCTTGATGCAATTGTACAAATGTTTGACTTAGACATGAATGATTGTCGAGGTCAAGGATACAATAACGGTGCGAACATGGTAGGAAAATTGAAGGTGTTCAAAGCAGAATCGGGCATTTTTCAATTCATGTGGTTGAAGTTAATACAAATTAATTTGCTCATATTAGCTTAATAAAATAAAATGATGTGTCCTACCCAGTCTCAAAGCACCTCCTCAAAGTAGCCACCACTCACAGTACCACCACGCCCAACACCACCACACTAGGAACGACACACCACTCTCGATAATACGATACGCGTTTCCCCTCTACACGAGAAATCCACAGGTGAAGTAGTCTCTGCGCTGGCTGAAACAGTTGCAATTTATACTACTCGCCAAATTTCGTGAACGCACTACACGTCAAACGTCCCGATACCATTCACACCATCTGGATGCTTGGCGGTCCACCACTGTACGTTTTACAAGGAGTTTTCTTCCACGTACAACCTCTCTGTGGAATAGTTTACCACCGGCGATTTTTCCGGACCGATACGACCTGGGGACCTCCAAGAAAAGAGCTTACTCCTTTCTAAAGGGCCGGCAACGCACCCGCAATTCTCCTGGTGTTGCGGTTGATCATGGGCGGCGGTAGTCACTTAACATCAGGTGAGCCGCATGCTCGTTTGCCCCTTCTTCTATAAAAAAAAAAAACTCGCTGATCAACGAGTTATAAATAGCAGCGTGTGGAGAGCGGAGAGGTTCCTAGTGTGGTGGTGCTCGGAGGGGTGGCGCTGGGAATGGTGATGCTGAGATTCATGGTGCTGGAAGTGTCTCTTCAGATTGGGCAGAACACATCATTGTATTTTATTACACGGAAATGAACAAATTAAATTCTAACAACTTCAATATAATGGATTTCCGCAAAGTAACGTCTAATTCTTTTTTATTTGGGCGTAACAATTGATCAAAAACTAACGTGGAACTCTCACATTAGCAACCTATGGCATAGGGCTAAAATTGCTTTAAGTACGTGCAGTCGTATGGTTGGGAACACTACGGACAGACTAAATAGTCTACAAATGACTGCCTGCTTAATGGCAACTGGAGCGATGCGATCATCGCCTGGAGCAGCTCTTAATGCACTTGTGTACCTAACGCCTCTTGATTTTTAATAAGACTAGGAAGCGAGAGCTAGTTTGTATAGGATTAGCGCCCAGGGCGGTCTGCGCTTGCATTTCTATAATTGAGATCCATGCTCGACTGAATTAAGGAAACACGGATCTTATGCATGATCTCAGATATCAAGCGTCCACTATACACTTTTAATAAAAAAAAATACGTGTGGCACTCGGTGACTGCCGCGGTAAAGCTATTGCATAGCATTTTTTATCAACTTATGCAATTATAATTACTTATTTATTTTATTTATGCAGTTAAGTGTTTGATATTAAATCAAGTTACACTTTTTGAGCGTGGTGACCGATAAGAAAACAATTTTTTTTTCTCTTATTGAATAAATGAGAAGTTAATATTGTTTAAAATATTTTTAATATCTTACAATACATGTAGGTTATCCAGAAATTTTTATCATTGAGTTAGCAGCTAGTGTACACGCACACAAACACCGTGCCGAAGTCTGCCGAGTGCCGAAGTCTGCCGTACTAAAACGACGTTAGACGATGCACGGCTTTCAACGCCACACCTCCGTGCCCGTCGGAGTGGGGAGCGTGAGGTTTTTTTTCGTTACGGAATTTCTGGATTCGGTCCCCGCGCTCAAGGCCCGCGATAGAAGCTATGCAATAGCTTAAAAGTACAGTGGAACTACCCTCCGGAGAAGGCTGGCTGAATGGAAAGGGTTATCTGTGAGGTCGGTAGCCTTATACGGTACACCGATGGGTCAAAAATGGACCTCGACGTACATAGGCTTTGTAATTAATGGGGAATGGTCCAAATTCAAACTTAGTATGAATTAGGGTAGATTCAACTCTGTCTTCTAGGCAGAAATTTTCGTCATACTTCAGTGTGCGGAAATCAATCTGCAAAAACACTACGTCAACGTCTAAGCGCCTTGGGATTTAACAACAGGGTCGTTTTAAGATGGGATCCGTACCACGCGGGCATTGTAGGGAATGAACTTGCCGATGAGTTGACACGGGAAGGCATAAAGAGCACGCAATTTGGAACCGAGCCATTTTGTGGAATATCAA